TTTTTTAAGGTTTTGTTCTTGCAAGTAAAAGAAAAATGTTTCTATAATTACACAGATTTTTGATGCTAACATTACAGTTTTGCCCTTTTTTAAAATTGTCATGATGTGTATTAATTTAACTTAATTATTAATTTAATTTTGTCTGTTTGTTTTGTGGTTTGTTTGTTTTTTGACAAAACAGAAAATCTTTAAAATGACAATGAAATAAAAATAAAAAGTTGACTTAATTCCACCAACTATTTGTGTGCTTTATTTCAAATAATGAGAAATATCTGTATTTTTTTTTCTTTTGCTTTTTTTAAAATTGCAAATAGATGCAAATGAACAAATTTTAAGGAAACTGAATCACAATAGAAACAAACAGTGAATGAAAATAATGTCATTTTTAAAAAGTAAATAAATGAAGTGTTCTAATAAATACTAAATTTTGCACAACATATCTGCAGGTTTGGCCTCATTTTTAATATTTTCATGTGTGTAATGAAACAAAACAGGAAAAGTCTGTGTTTTACAGCCTGTGTACTCGGGCACCTATAGAGCAGGTCATGCTGCAGGGCTCCTGGGACGACAGCTTCCAGCGATACATGTCGGCAGCGCTCAGCTTCAGGTTCTTCTGGTAAAGTCTCTGGTTGCCCCTGAAAGACGAACAGAGGATTCACCCTTCAGCAGGATTTGGCGTTGAGCAGATCTTCAGGAGACACATGTGCGGCGGAACATTCCTCGGAGGACGTCTGAGGATACCCGGCGGTGTGGCGGCTGATTCACGGCCCGCATCCCGGCAGACGCTCTGGGGTTTTTTTTTCGCCTCGTCACATAAAAGTCATGTGCACATTCTTGTCATAACACCGGCCGCCGCCGCCTCGGCCAGACGTTTATTTGAGAGTCGCAGCCACTTTGAGTTATATCTGACTCCTGCGCATGATGTTCTCCCCAGAGGAGGCTGCAGCCGGCCTCACTGCTGCTGCAAATACCTTCAGTTACTCCTGTCTGTCCGTCTGTCCGTCTGTCTGTCTGTCTGTCTGTCTGTCTGTTTGTCTGTCCGTCCGTCTTCAGATGCTTTGTGGCTTCTGGCTGCAGATCGACTCAAGTCGTGTTTGGACAGAAGGCAGAGAAGCAACATGAATTATGAATATGATGAATGTAGAACCCTGCCTGGTGCATCTGTCTGTTTATCTACCTGTCCGTCTGTCTGTCCGTCTGTCTGTCTGTCTGTCCGTCTGTCTGTCCGTCTGTCTGTCTGTCTGTGCAGTCATAATAAAAGTTTACATCCACTTGTAAAGACGCCGCATGTCGGGAGCGTCTGGAGTTTCCAGGGACTCCTACAAATGACGGAATCATTGAAACACATGCGCCTCTGAAACTATCTGGGTCACAAACGCACATGAAGCAGCTCGAGTGATGAGTTCTGGTTCTGTAGAACGCTGTGTTGTCCAAACTGTCTCAGTGTCGTGACCTCTTGATGCACTCGTGAGACTCGGACACCACAGTGGGAAAGCAAAGGTTTGAAAAAGCAAATCGTTGACTAGAACAAGTCAGAAAGTCACTTGGAGCCATTTCAGAGCAGCTTCAGATCAAGATGGAACAAACGCTGAGCAGAAACATGTCTGGAGGAGAGACGGTGAGGCCTTAAACCCCAAGAACACCAAACCTCCCATCAGGCATGGAGGTGGCAGCATCACGCTCTTTGGCTTGATGCTGCCACCTCCATGCTTGAACCTGCGGACTGTGGTGAAGAAACAAGTCAGAAAGCCAACAAATTTAGATAAACTGAACCAGTTCTGTCAAGAATTCTGGTTCTGTTGGACTACCTGTTTTGTTTTGTTTTTTTCCTGTTTTTTGTTGGATTTCCTGTTTTTTTTTTTTTTTTTTTTTTTTCTAGTTTCGTGTTCTGTTGGACTACCTGGCTTTTCTGGACAACCTGGGTCTGTTGGACTACCTGGCTCTGTTGGACTACCTGGGTCTGCTGGACTACCTGGCTTTTCTGGACAACCTGGGTCTGTTGGACTACCTGGCTCTGTTGGACTACCTGGGTCTGCTGGA